CTGGTTTAATTTGATTCATTCCACTAGTCTAAAGACAACATTTCTAAATCTGAAATAATTGTCACTTGTACAGTTTTATGAAGGCATGTGAGCATAATATTTTAATTGCATTGTTGAATTGCTACTTTTATGTGTGCTTGCAGGCACTACAGAAGCAGAAAATACCATAGTCCACCTTTCTTAAAACAACACATTATGGCAGCAGGATGAATACCCTGCTACCTTCGTTAGGGGGTTGAAACATGCCGTTTGGCTTCCGATAACTGCCCAAGTCTGGAAGGCATTTGTATAAAGTAGGTTTGTAATTTTTGGCAATATTCGAGGTCCATTTTATTATTTGGCTACAAGACACGTGAATTGAACATGATCAGTTCTTACAAGCGTTGCTCAATACTCATATCATAAACATAAGAATCGATATTAATTGATGCATTCTCCGTAAAATTAAACAGCTGCTGTAAACCAACTACCAAATATGACAGCCGTAGCGAGACGTATACGATGCGGTGTGCTGAGCGCGGCAATATTTCCCGCGTCGTTGGTCGACCGGAGGCGACGCGCAACTTGTTGCCACAACCACAGCAACATGAATACTGGATAGATGTCATGTGACATGGCTCTCATTGCACTTGTCTGAGCGTTGAACCTGTACTGCAGAGAGATCCTGGGTTTAAATTTGTCCAGATATTTTTTTTATCAAGCCGGATTTTTTTCTATCACGGTCACCGGGCACGGACCTAAAGCCACAAAAAGTCAAGTGGCCAGCAGCAAACGGCGCTATGGAAGGGTGTAATAGATGAGGGTGTAATAGATAAGGACATACATTTCTTGAATTGAGCAAGGTTAGAAAAAATTGGGTGGGAACAGAAACGATGCCAGGGAATTAGAGTTTAGCAGTGTAAGGAGTGAGTTGCTTGTCCTTGGCTTGGTCATCATTGACTGCACAACAACACTGTTTGGCTTTACACTAAATTCAGCTCTGCCCAGGTAAAACTGAAATGTATAAAATTATGAATATTTAAAGAACAACTCTGAGGGCAGTTTTTTTTCATTTGCAAGGCCCGCGGGCCACTGGCGGCTCGCTGGCGGCCTTTCGTGTGTCCCCTTAGGTGTGGCCCACAATGATACACAACATGTGAAATCACCCCTCATCATGCTGCTTTCAAACACCCAATGGTTTCAAATGTGTGGCGGCCCTCATACAGATGATGTCTCATCGGCGAAAGTGTACACCCCCCCCCCACCGCTGAAAATGTGTGAAAAATACTGCTGTAGACAGTGAAAGAGCGCCGTGCAGTGCTGTGTGAGAGGCCGATTGGAGAGACTCCTGACGTGGTTCTGTGGTGTCATCTGTCACGTGGCTCTACTGACAACAGTGAGAATTCTGCTAAGATGTAACTCCACCTCACCATATGACTTGGCCAGCACAGATAGGATATGATTTATAATCGCGATGCCACCTTGGTGTAATGGTTAGCACGCGGGGCTCTCAATCCATAGGTCACCGGGTCGTTTCAATCTCCCGACGCGGCAGTTGATCAATTCATCCCCACCTCTGTCCATTCGGCAGTATGAATAGGTGCGTCAGTCAGTTAGTCGATAGGCAGGTTGCGCATGTTGGGGTTTAATTGTGGGGATACCCCCACCTTTTCCAATATGTCAGACCATTGTGGAAGCGTAGACCAAAATACCCTTTCTGGAGGAGCTCTCTCTAACTCCATCTAGTGGAGGTCCGTCTCTCGGCAGTGGCGTGAGAAATCGGCAAGGCTGCTTTCTTTGTCTTACTCTTTTGAATACACTCGTGCATTGCTGTGCACAAATCTGCATAACCCATGTATGAGTGTGCCATAGGTAGTTGTGCTATTTCCTGCGTTTTATAATCCAGCTTAATCACATAAATGCTGGGGAATTTAACACTGGCGGCGACTATAGCAAGTTACAGTGCAAGCAAAACCAATTTCCTTGCTTCAGACGTCCACGGGATACCACGTCCTATTAGTAACAAATATCCTAGTACTCCGTGCCACCACCAAAGCACATCTGTGTCTCCCTCGGAAGCATTTCGTCTGCAGTCCCGCATCACCTCTTCTGCCTGGTGGCTTCGTTATCTTTCTCTGGGTGTCATTGGCCTATATTTAAACGGATTTTTGTTTTTTTCTCATCGTTGGGAGAAATATAATTTAATCAGTCTTATTTCTGGATTGGAGTTCCTGTTCAGCTCATAGTTGGACAGTCTGCCGAGTCCCATCATTTCACACAAAACAGCTGCCGGTGAATACGAGATGAAAATTAAAGTGCGAGTGTGTGGTGTGGTCACCGGATCGCTGAGCTCGTGTAACTTTTTATTTGTTGGTCTATGAATCACCTTTTTCCGTGTATTGTCATTCATATTTGTTTCCTTCCTGGATACACTTTTTTGGCCGCGTTTCTATTACGGGGAAAAAAAAGGCATCGGAATTGGTTTATTGTCGCCCTTCGGCAAGGCCAAACTGTCGCCGCAGTGCCCAGGCAGGGCTTGTCCACACAAAGCACTCCGACGCACAAGGAAGCAGTAGTTGGCGGTAATTGCTGTACTGTCCCGGCGATTCCTAACAGGGATGAAACCGGTATACTGTACGGTTTTCGTCAATGCTGCTGTCTAAATTAATATGGCCGCAACTTTTATTCCTTCGAGTTGGTGGTCTAACACAGGGCTCTGTGTGCGTTTATATACCGCACTTGCGGTTGATGTGACGTGCAAGGCATAATGGAAGGACCGATCTTGAGGTCACTATCACACACTTTTCCATCATCTTTTGTGTGTATTACGCTTATGATATTCTTGGTTCTTTCGGTAAAGTCACGTAGAAGGGAAACAACATAATAAAAATATAAAACAATGAAATTTTCACGATGTTTCGACTGCAACACAAGCAATCATCATCAGGTGTGAAAACCACAATAAGAAAATTTGAAAAAAGTGGCGGTTATTTTTAACGTTAGCACCACGGAGTGCGATTTGACAGTTTGTTCAGATGGACAAGTCCATCTATGTTCGGAAAAGAGGAGGGGGGAGACGAAAAAATAATGGATGCGGTCTGAAAGCCACCGTAAGTGTGAACAATCAATTAAGACCCGAAATGGTTTATTAAATCCTTCCAATGATTGCTAAGCCAGAATCCATCTTCTCGGTTGAAATTATCTCTGTATATGTGGATAGCCTCATGAACGAATCTCTCATGGTAGCCAGATGGCTTGCAAAGAACCTCTGTCTTGGAGAAGTAAATGTCATGTGAGCCTACTGAATTATAACAATGATCTGCCACGGCCGAGGTGTTGGTCCTACCGTGTTTAAGGTCTGCTTTGTGTTCACAAATGCGGTCCGAGACATGTCGTTTGGTTTCTCCAATGTAACTCCTACCACAGAGGCAACTTAGTTTGTAGACGCCAGGGTACTGTATGTCCGGAATCACATCTTTTACAGATGGAACCAGATCACGGATTTTATGTAATGTGTTGAATCGGACCTGGATCTTGTGTTTATTCAAGATTTTGGAGATCTTTTTTGTGATCCCCGCAATGTAGGGTAAAGTGATGGTTTTGAAAGGCTCCTCAAGAGGGTCCTTCTTCATGATTGGAGTGATAGCTTTGCGGATTGTGTAGTCGGAGTAACCATTAGCCTTAAGAGCTTGGTGTACGTGCTTGAACACAAAGCAGACCTAAAACACGGTAGAACCAACACCTCGGCCGTGGCAGATCACTGTTATAATTCAGTCGGCTCACATGACGTTGACTTCTCCAAGACAGAGGTTCTTTGCAAGCCATCTGGCTACCATGAGAGATGCGTTCATGAGGCTATCCACATATACAAACACAGAGACAATTTCAACCGAGAAGATGGATTCTGGCTTAGCAATCATTGGAAGAATTTGATAAACCATTTCTGGTCTTAATTGATTGATCACGCTTAGGGTGGCTTTCAGACCGCATCCATTATTTTTTCGTCTCCCCCCTCCTCTTTTCCGAACATAGATGGACTCGTCCATCTGAACAAACTGTCAAATCGCACTCCGTGGTACTAACGTTAAAAATAACCGCCACTTTTTTCAAATTTTCTTGCTGTGGTTTTCACACCTGCTGATGATTGCTTGTGTTGCAGTCGAAACGTTGTGAGAATTTTATTGTTTTATATTTTTATTATTTTTTGTTTCCCTTCTACTTGACTTTACCGAAAGAACCAAGAATATGAATCCCTGCAGTCACGAAAGCTTTAAATCAAAATTTTACGCTTATGATGTTTACTTTGATTTTTAGGTCTTGCTTTGGAAGATAATTTTTTTCTCTGCAGCCCTTGATATTTGCTTCTTTTGAAATCGCATAACTTATTTCCCCTCCCAGATAATGAGTATCAAACCGTTAACAGAAATCTGTGTGCTTCAAATCTGCTTTCAAACTTTTCCCGAAGTATATATACCATTGTCTTCCAGCCGCAATCCTCCAATTTTTATTTTATCAAACTTGTTACGAGCACAACTTTTTGCTTTGTTTATCGGCAGGCTAACTTGATAGCCTTCTTTTGTCAAGTTCTTAAATCACACCCTGACCTTAATATGTCGTTCTCATGACTGTTGTCAGAATATCACAGGCGGTAAATCTTGTTCCAAAAGTCAAATTATGGTTGTATTGATGGTGACGTTTTTGGTGATGATGATGACACTTTAAGACATGCCTATTCCATACTTCTGTTAGGTTATGTTGATAAATATTGTAATAGTATGGCTCTTATGGCTATTCATCGAACAAAGACGGTACTGCATCACGCTCTTTCAGATGCGCTTCTGTGGCCTTCTGGAATGCTCTTTCTTCCAAAATTAGGAAGCCACCGAGAGCTATGCACTCTTAAATCTAGATTGAAAACTAATTTCTTTAGAACTGCACCTGAGGACGGACATAAGGTGGGAAAGAAGTTATACATAATGATGATCTCATTAATAAGACACGTTTCAAACTGTTGTTTGCAGAATTTTGTGCCGCTGCAGCTGATGGTGACGAGCCCAACTGGAGAAGAGAAGGTGCTTGGAGGAGGAAATGAAAACAACCGGGAACTTAGGCTGCAAGTCGGAGGACAAGAGGGCACCCATGCTGAATCGCCTGCAGACACTGGAGAAATCAAGAAGCTTGAAAAACGGTCCAGATTTTCAAGAAACAAGCGAATCGCGGCTCTTTGCAAGAAAATGAAAGATGAGGGTGGAATGCACCCATTCTGTCACATCAGCCTCGACGACGTGGAAGGGAATGACAACACTGACGATTCCTCAAGTGAAGCAACTTCACCGGCTGCTAATTTTGAAGCCGACTCTGAGAATAATAATGTGTTGGACAATGCCGGTTCGATGATGCACCGGGATGCCGATTCGCGCAACGATAATTTGGCAACTTCCAAGGACGCCGCTGATGTGGTCGAGCCATCTGCTGATGCGGACCAGAACGAGGACCCTGACCGCGCTACGCGAAACGAAACCGGCACGGCGCAGCGACGCGTCGAGCTCGCCAAGATGACGGAGGTCGAAGTGAGCACCGTGCAGACTGTTGTGAGGAGCGAGTTGCCAGTGGCCACCAAGTTGGACGACGACCGCTCCAGGGTGCTGGTGCAGAACGACGAAGAGGTGGGGGGGGAGGCCGCCGCCGCCTCTGGTGATGGCCCTTCGTCGTCCAGCGAGCGGGGCGCAGAGGGGAGTGCCGAGGGTTTGATGAGCACTTCGCGGCAGGAGCCGGCTACGGACTTCAACATGAACATGCCAACGGACGGTGACGCCGCCTTCGAATCGGTGGTAGTGGTGCCGCCGCTGGCGGCGCGCAGGCCGTCGGAAAACGCTTACTCGCATTACGAGAGCTATGAGGACCTCCGGATTGGAGGTGGATCTGAAACGACTGCTAACCCCGGCGAGTGCGTTGATGACTCCCCCACGTCGCTCGGAGTGGATGAGGGCTGGGACGTGGAGGGGAACAGAGCGGCGGGCGCGGATCTACCAGGAACAACCGCCCCGGGAGGCTCGGAGAAAGACGTGCAATTGAACTACTCCAAAGATGACGCAAATGAAGCACTTGAGGCACAGGCGGATTTGGACGTTTGTGATGAACCGCCGCAAGCTCCGGTCAACGTTGATGATCATGTTGCTGCTGCTGCTGCTGAAAGAGCTGCAGTGACCGAGTGTGATGTTTCGGTGCAGACTGAAGATGCCAGTCTCTATGAAGAAGTCTTGCCGGAGGATCTCAAAGGCAGTGAATATTTGACCGAAGTGCCCTCCATGCCGCTGCAGGCTTTTGAGATAGCCAATGTTTCCTACTCAACTCGTCTGCACGAACGTCGTGCTCCAACAGAACACTCGGAGTGCGAGCTCGACGCTGCAGACGCCGTTGTTCAGCACGCAGACGAGGCTCTTGTAGATTTTAGTCGAAATAGCAATGAGTTGCAACACGACTCGATATCGTACGTTCATGTCGGAGGGCAATTGGAGGAGTCGTTGTGCCCCGAAGAACCAGTCGGAATGGATATAAGCTGTGATGATGTGCAGTTTGGTGAAGAATTGCCTGCTCCTCGTGCATATGTGTTGTCAAAAGAAGCGGCACTGGGTGAATACGAATCGGTACAGGAAATGCACGAAACCTCTGACGACGACTCCAGAACCCCAACTAATGTCAGCCAAGAGCACTCGCCAGAAGTCTGCCAGGGCAATGAAATGGCCAAAGGGCATACCGAGACCCATCTGAATCCAGTGAGCGAGGACTCTTGGGGAGATTATGAAATTGTGGAAGAAACGCCAGCTGTGGAAAGTTCAACTGAGGGGGTGCTGCTGGAATCAAGTGATGGAAAAGCTCGTGCAGCACCGGGAGCTGAAACTGTTGGTGGATTTTCGTGCACGCCGAGCGACGCAGCCCCCTTGGGTCACGAGCACGCCGGCGCAGCCGAGGCGGCGGAAGAATGGGAGACGGCTGTCAAGCAGACCCTGTCAATCCAGGAAACCCCCTGGGTGGCCGATCGTCCACCGCTGCAGAAGGAACCGTGGGTAGGAGGGGGGGTAACACAAGGTGTGATCGTGAAGTCGTCTCCCGTCTCCGCTAAAGAATTGGACGAGGGTAGCGAGTGCGTGCCTGCACGTGGAATGCATGCTGACCGCGAGCACGAAGTTCCTACGGAGGGGTTGGCTGGGATCGCCTATCCAGTTGATAAACAAGTCCAAGAACTTCTGGAAAGTTCAGAGATGATCTGTTCAGAACCACGCCCTCCGGAAAGTTCAGAGATGATCTGTTCAGAACCACGCCCTCTGGAAAGTTCAGAGATTATCTGTTCAGAACCACGTCTTCTGGATAGTTCAGAGATGATCTGTTCAGAACCACGTCTTCTGGAAAGTTCAGAGATGATCTGTTCAGAACCACGTCTTCTGGAAAGTTCAGAGATGATCTGTTCAGAACCACGCCTTCTGGAAAGTTCAGAGATTATCTGTTCAGAGATGATCTGTTCAGAACCACTGCTTGTGGAAAGTTCAGAGATTATCTGTTCAGAGATGATCTGTTCAGAACCACTGCTTGTGGAAAGTTCAGAGATGATCTGTTCAGAGATGATCTGTTCAGAACCACTGCTTGTGGAAAGTTCAGAGATCTGTTCAGAGATGATCTGTTCAGAACCATTGCTTGTGGAAAGTTCAGAGATTATCTGTTCAGAACCACTGCTTGTGGAAAGTTCAGAGATGATCTGTTCAGAGATGATCTGTTCAGAACCACTGCTTGTGGAAAGTTCAGAGAGTATCTGTTCCGAGATGATCTGTTCAGAACCACTGCTTGTGGAAAGTTCAGAGATTATCTGTTCAGAACCACTGCTTGTGGAAAGTTCAGAGATTATCTGTTCAGAACCACTGCTTGTGGAAAGTTCAGAGATGATCTGTTCAGAGATGATCTGTTCAGAACCACTGCTTGTGGAAAGTTCAGAGAGTATCTGTTCCGAGATGATCTGTTCAGAACCACTGCTTGTGGAAAGTTCAGAGATCTGTTCAGAGATGATCTGTTCAGAACCATTGCTTGTGGAAAGTTCAGAGATTATCTGTTCAGAACCACTGCTTGTGGAAAGTTCAGAGATTATCTGTTCAGAACCACTCCTGGAAAGTTCGGAGATGAGCTGTTCAGAGATTATCTGTTCGGAACCACTCCTAGAAAGTTCAGAGATGATCTGTTCAGACATGATCTGTTCAAAATCGCGCCTTGTGGAAACTTCAGAGATGATATTTTCAGAACCACACGTGCAGCTTCAAGACGACCCATTATTCGCAGCTGTCCCACCAAAACCCAGTCAGAAAGATGTAAGCATTGCGAGAGATGCTGTTGAAACTGTGACTGACTTGGTACCCAATGTGGAAGATAATCAGTGCATTTTACAAACTGCTGTTTTAGAGCAACTCAAGCTGGTATCATTATCTAATGCTGAAGAAGAAGACAATGCTCTAGACCCCTTTCTAAAGGCGGCAAACCAGACATTGTGCATCACTGAAGCATCTCCACTGCCTCACCAGCCCATTGGTGACGTAGTTAAAGTCCAAAAAACAACTGACATCGAGCAGAACTTTTCAGTGCAGGAAACTCGGCCTGTGGCGCAGGAGTATCCATCCTATGATTTCGCACTGCAGGCGACGGTTACAGAAAGCCTGCCGATGAGTTCCACGCCAAGGGTCCGTCACGTGCACCATAAAGACACGGAGGAGCATGAGAATCATCCGACTGATGTGCTTAGAGAGGAACTGCAGCAGCAGGAGGAGGAGCAGGAGGAGGTTGACGTTCAAACAGCTAACGTCCTGGTAAAAAAGAAGACCCAAATATCACATTTGGGTGAAGAGAGTGTGAAGCGTTACTTCGAAAGCGGCGACGCTGAAGCACACTTTCCTGTCGCTGCCTCCGACTTTAACCTGCAGTATGAAGAAGTGCCGCTGTCCGAGTTCATGTCGGATGCAGCGGGACTTGGAGAGGCGTCGCCGTGTGAGATAAACGAAGAGGTCAGTGTTGCGAGCGTCATTGTTGAACCGGGCAGCTGTAATCTGTCCGATGTAGAGGACGACACTGAACTAGATCAGGATGTTGAAGAAGCTCCCGATCTAGAGCACTATATGGAGCAATTCAAGCCAAATCACGACTTCTCAGATGTGACGTCAAACATTCAGGCCATTCAGGAGGCATTGCTGGGAGCGATTCGCCCATTAGTCGACCTGCCAGACAGTGAGGAAATTGAAGCTGTATCCTCTCTTGTTGAACCACAGCTCAGAGACAGAGGTTTTGAATCCACGGAAGTAACAGTTTGGAATAGACCTTTTCTTGAAAAATTTTCAGCCGTAGAATCCTACGTGATGACAGAGCAGCCAGGACAACTTGGGGAGACGCCTGATTTAACCCCAGAGATCAAATACCAGCACGAATTAGAGTTTCCAAAAGCACCAAACCAAACGCAGTGGTTCCCCAAAACATCTGCTGTGCCCAACGAACGCGTGGACGAGCCAAAATTTAAAGAAACAAGTTTCATTGAAAAGACCCCACCAGTGGAGCGAACCCATTCACTGGAGGAACATTGGGCAGCTGACTCGAGCGTGACGGATGATCCAGCTGCGGGGAACGGAACTCAACATGACCTTACAAGGCGAGAGTATGTTGAAGACGACGAACAAACGTCCATTTGTGAAACCCACGTGCTTCTGGCCGAGGGGACCGATAACATTGATGCCCTGGCAGAGCCCATAATTACGCAAGAGCAGCTAAACAGGATCGTGGGCATGGTGGAAGAGAACGTCAGACGCTTTTTGGAAGCCAACGCCGGCACGCTGCAGGCGTCGGCAGACGATGCCGGCTTGGCGGAGCGATGTTTACCGGAGGGCGAGGAAGACGGCGCAGGGCCTTGCGCGCAGCCTGAAGGGGGGGAGATGGTGCCCACAGCCCAGCTCGAAGATGCACTGGGAGACGAACTCGCGGAGGAGACTAATTTCGAAAGCTCTGCTTTTAAACCTCCGCTGAAACTCAACGATTTTGAAACCCCTTCTGATGCTCTTGCCGCTTCTTCGTGCACTCGAGTAACTCGTGATTTGGAGGCCTCTGCAGATGTCGTTCAACCCGCTCGGTTGCTGCTCACCTCGGTTGCGCCGGCCATAAGCACTGATGACGGCGCGGTAACTCCTGAACTAGAATCCGTTGACCAGTGGTTACTTGAAACCCCGCCTCTATCGCGTCGTCGTCCCGCAAGTAGGATTAATGAAGGACGACTTGACGAGGATGCCGTGCCCCAGTCGCCAGTGGAGCAGCATCTCACTGAGGAGGTGAAACGGGTCGGAGAAGATGTGCCTGCAGCGGGAAAAAGGGACGAAGATGTGTGGGATAATGATGAGGATGATGGCGTTGACTTGCGTTTTGAGAACCAAGAACTGGATAAAGATTTGGAGCCTCGTGTTGCGTATGAGGAGCTAAACAAAGATGTAGACTCGTTCGAAGAAGACAAAGAAAAGCAGTACCCAGAAAGAAATGTTGTAGATTTGCAGCTGGAAGAAGAGAAGGCTGATTTGAAACGAGAGCAAGGAGTATCAACAGGTACCATCTTTCTTCACTCGGATCCGCAAGTGCAACTTGAAAGTGGGTCTGTGTCTGGCTCTGTCTTGGCAGAGCCTGAAGTTGAAGTGCTCCCAGTATGTGATGAAATTGAAGCAGTAGGTGTGAAGAGGTATGTGGTTGAAGCAGGCTGTGACTACATATTAAATGTACAAGATACTGTCACAGATGAAAGCCTCTTTGAGGAGGCCCAGGTGTCGCAGAGACCGTTGAATGAATTGCCAATGTCAAAGAGGGAAATTTATGACCTTGCCACCAAAGTTGACCTTGACTCTGCATGTGACCCGTCAAAATCATTTGGGGAGGAAGAGCAGCTCCGTGAAACTCGCCTCTTGACCGAAGTTGGAGAAATCCGGGACATTCTGCAGAGCATGCTCGTGGAGGTGAATCAGCCGGTGGAACGGTTCACACTGCGAGACTCCGCAGAGGGAAAAGACGCCCTCGCCAGCATCATTGAAGAATGCGGCGAGACCAAGGAGATCGTGGGACACGCGCTGCGGGGCATCGCCGACGCCGGTCCAGAAGAAGGGGAAGAGCCACGTGCGACCGAAGGCTCTCCTCCGCTCGAAGGCGATCGGCACTCGTCTCGTCAATCGCGACCCGACTCGTCTCACGCGGCTCAAGGGCTCGGCGATCCTGAGGGGTGCCCTGGCGCCGCAACCGACGGCGGTGGCGGCGACGAGTCGGCCGAGCAGCCGGTTCCTGACGCGAACAAAGCGAGGCCCAAGCCAAGAAGGCCGAGGCCGGCGTTCCCGACCATCATCGTCAACGAGGTGATTCCGGAAGAGGATGAGAGCCGGGCGTTCGTCGAGGACGACGACTCCCCGCCCGGAGCTTCGGGCTGGGACCATGTCGCCGCCGAGCCCTCTGGGGGAGGCGAGGTCAGGCCGAGGAGGGGGTGGGCGGTGTCAGCCACGGCGGTGGCGGACGCGAGCCCGAGCTACAAGCGCCTGCAGCAGGTGTTCGAGAAGGTTTTGTACTTCCTCGCTTTTGTCGTTTTCCTCGTGGCCTTGTACCACTACGACATTGTGGTGTGTTGCGCACTTTATGTTGTTTCCTTGGGTGTCCTTTACTACGAGAACGAAATAACTGAGTCCGGTCACAGGCAGTATCAACCCGGGGAGTGAATAGCTAGATTTTGACATGAAGTTATTTTAAAGTGGTTTTAAGTACAGTTATAGGTTATGCAATAATGTTAACGATGCCAGTTTATAATTGTCTCAATTTAGTATTGATAGATTACATCTGAGGGATTTTTCTCCTTGTTTGTGGGCTGTTTGGTATTTAGGATTTCTTGTAAAAAGTGTAAAATGACTTGGCGTTCAGTCATCCTAAGTCTATTTTTATAAGCAATAGATCAGTTTTCCATACTTGTACAACAATAACCCACACCATGCACAAACCATTAACTATGAGCAGTTGCAACGTAAAAGCATTATTTATAGCGTGTTCGAAAAACATGCTGGCATCGAATACTTAAAAAAAATCACCTTTAATAGCGTCATAATTTCTTGCGTAATGGTAGAATATTAACTGAATGTAACATATATGTGCAAAAAAGGATTTGGAATATATTTGTTAGGATAAAGACATTAACAGCTCGGGATTTTATATGGGGGGGCAGGGGGAATAAGTAATTGTCCAGCAGTTCCGAAGCGCAGTCGGACTGTGCAGTAGCTGTCATTATTTCCGTACATTTCAAGACGTTGCAGTGAAGCTGTGTTTTTTTCCCTTCATTGTTTTGATGTTGGCATCAGCCTCCTCGGATCGTTTAAAGCAGCTTCCACGTCGTCAAAATAACCGCTTTTACCTCTTTCGTACCTTGAGCAATAATGGTGAAGACTCGCTTGGCTAAACACACGGCACTAGCTTTTTGTAAAAGGATATCTTTTGGAACGCGTTGGGTGCCACTCGTCCTCCAATCGGCTTGCGATGCAATTGGCGCAACGGCCAAATTTCGCGTTTTGAGGGCTTTGCACATGCGCAGGCCAGTGTGTGCGCAAACTTTGCGGACTGTATCGCGAACCTGCAGTAGGGTGTAGGCGAATTGAGAGTACGGCGAGTGTCAATGCTGAATTTGTGGCGTGTATCAAATAATACACGAGGATTTGTATAAAGCGGCTTGGCTTCAAAGCATCGCGCGATAACCCCCCCCCCTTCCCTTCCATTGGTGTGATTTTCATCCTGGGCGTTGAACTTTAAGGCAAGATGGTCGAGGCTTTTTTACATTTCAATCTGTCACCTCGATCCATAATAAACGTCTCAATTCATATGGAGGAATTAATAAGCTTTCATGAAATAAATAGCCTTGACAGTGTTTGTTGCCTTTTTGATGGTGTAGTGTGTCTCGGCCCACTGTTTTCGATGCGGCATCAACAGCCGTTGCTATATTAGCAGTACAGTTTGGGCCCTCCAGGCAATTCTGGCCCCCCCCACCAGTTCGCCTGCGATCGCTAGAGAGATGGACTTGTATTAACACTGACATTTGTAACTTTATTTTAAAGTCTTAGCATGTCGGCGTGCTCCTGCATGCATTCTTCACAGACTGTCTTCCCCCATCGTGTGTGTCCAAATGCAGCCCAATGTAAATTGTGTTTTGAGTAATAATCATAATAATAAATGTATTACCGTATCAAGATGTGGTTTTCCCGATTGGCCACATCTGACGATGAGCGTTTTTGTCGGTGCACGTGTCTTTAACTATGCGCACCTATGTTGAGTTTGAATGAAAGGTAACTCCAGAAGATTACGATGAATGTTTAATGAAATGTTAAAGTGTTTGTTATTTAAAGAAAGAATAAGGGGCGGTGGAAACATAGGTCTACGTTGGGAATTCACTTTGGGTATTTCTAAAGGATATTTAAAATTTTAACTATTAAATAACGACCTATATCAGGCCGATGTGTACAAACTTGTGACTTGGGTTTCTGAATTACTTGCATCCATGACATTTTGCCACTAAAATTTACATTTTATAAGATCACCATTGTGATGTTGTTAAGTCTACAATAAATCTATATTAAATGTTCCTATTTTATAATGAAAATCTTCTACAGTGGCAATGTGGGCAATAAAGATCCTGTGACCCTCTCCCCCATTTACAAGCATAACCCCCGATGTGCCCTAACCAAACTCCAAACCTTGGCTTCGTGCAACTAAATATATCTTTTAAAATGTAACGTTCTCTTGCCCACCTACCGTTCTCAGGTCCCCGCTTTCTTTAACACGGCTCGCGAATCTCAGTGGCCTCGTCTGGTTAAACAACTAACACGAAATTTAGCTAATACGGTAATTTTACGTGTGATTTAAAGTGCTGCGTTTCCCATTCCCTCCCATCCCAAGACCGGCTTAACACACTTTTGCCGCGACGCCCCATCCCAGGATTCGCCTCCCTCGCACGATGTGGTCACGTCGACCACCGAGCTTTTTGAAATAAAGCGCGAGCCGCCTGCTTCGTGTGTACAAGGCGGGGGGGAGGGGGGGGGTCGTCTCGCGACTGTGGTCCCTGTCCAAAACTCGATTTGTTTAGAATGTGAGAGCCTGCACGGAACACCGTGTTCAGGCCGGGTTTGATAACCGGGGCCTAAAAATAGGGTCGTGCCAACCGTGCGTCTCGTGGCCGGTTGAACCTGCGGTGGTGGAACGACGAGGCAGCAGCACATGTTGGTTTCTGTGCTGTTCGTACAGCACGGAGGTTAAGACGGCTTTCGTGCGGGACAAATAGGAATACGCATAGACGCGCCACCTTTCCTTGAGTTTTCGTTGTCGCGACCCCCAAGGTCGGCATTGAGTTACGTCGGCGGGAGTTTCAAATGGTTAATTTTTTTTTCACTATTGTTAATGAACAGTTTTGCTGAGCCGGCAGGAAAGAAACAAGGTGATATATTTTTCACACGCGTTTCCCAGACTTTATTTTCGATTGTTCATGAGCGACAACTTTGGTTCGAGTTGTGGTGATGAGTTTGATGGCTCAAGTTGTTCTCAATGTTTTCGTTAAGCCCTCATAGTACGCATTCTTTTCTGAAGTATATTCTTTTCATTGTTTTTAGAGCATTGATTATCCATAATTTGATGTGATTGCTCAAATTACGTCAAATACATCCCCGCAATTTAAGTACAAAGTATTAATTGGGTGCCGTAATTACGCTGGCAATTTCCAAAACGATTGCCACTGAAGTGTTAACACTGCATTTTATTGTGCATTTTGCGAGTTGTATGTAGTCGTGGATAACACACTTGTATTAATCATAACAGACACTGGGTAGCCTTGTTAATTTACTCTAACCTTTGTAAAATACAGCGTGTTACACTTTTCGCGATTTAAAAAAACCTGGTATTTTAGTCTCCACCATTTATTTTGGTTGAATATGCCTTGCAGAAAGTGACCCATTGCACCAGAAATTAATGAATGGACAGAACCAGCACCCATTCTGGTTCGCATGCAAAACCCGCGAACGTCAAGCGTGAGCACGGGCAATATTACCAGCCTATTGTCTCTTTATTGGCCCTCATTTCAATTAAGTTGTTGATTGCAAAGGCCGGAGGACATTTGAATTTGTGTCCAGAGATGAAATAAAAACACGATCTGCTTTGCATACAAAGACTCGGCTTTGTTGGAATTAAAATTACTTTGAGTATATGTCATTCACGAAACTTTATTTTTTGGTGAAAATCAAATGATTCGGGGGCACGGAACAAGGTAATTGCACAGCATCGTTCGGAGTCGGCTCGGATAAGTAAGGGGAGGCGCCCGGTCATTTTTAAGAATGAGATATTGAAAAGAAAATTTCTCCAACTTAGCGCTTCTTCTCACGTCTCGTCGCCGAGTAATAATTACATGGTGGCACTCGTGTTTTGACACTGCGAGGTTGCCATTTGAAGAAATATTGTAGTCGTGCATCTGTGCGCTCACGTTGCGTCCAAAATATTTCAGAATGTTTGTTTCGAAGGGATGGCTTGTATCATTTAACTGCAAAGCTTCCCACCTGCAGCGATGTTTTTGGGGTGATCGTTTATTTAGGTAATTCTCTAAAACTGAAAATCGAACTACGACTGCACGGGTTTTCTCACAGTCGTGCTGTAGAGCTCTCCCGTGTGTCATTTGGATTGTATCGCTTGTTGTCCGGCGCGATGTCCCAACGTTTCGCTCCACACGCTTGGACCTTCAGGAGTTCGCTGTCTCTAGAACAACACGTGGTTACAGGCATACACTCGGCGGGAGATCTAAGTCTGTTGCTAATGAATACAAGCATAGCATAGTAAGAGCAAGCGTAGTAACAACTTGCAAGCATAAGTAACGTCTAGAGGTATGAATATAAAGCAGGTTCTTAAGCTAAAAGGGATTTTCACCGTACAAGCTTAGGCTAATTGTAATTCCATTCTAAATATATGCAAATAGTTTTATATATACAGCGTGGTAGCACTAAACTTTTGAAATGCAACCCAATAACTGAAAAAGTTTATTTTTTTGGGTTAAGGGTTTCTTTATGATAGCCATACACATTAGGATATGCAAACTGATTATGCTTTAATGTTCATTTGAAACGGCCGTTTCTTCGCAGAGATTACATTATTATTTTTGCTTTTTCCGTAGCGTGAGCAAACGTTTAAATGGTAATTATGGAGACGTGCATGCAATTGTGTTTGATGGTGGTGTTGAAAGCGGATTCATTTTTGTGTGATTTCTCAAATGCTTATGTTTTTACGAAAGTGTTCATTGCTTCTCTTTATAAATTGTCACGTTTCTCTGCAGTGGATGGCATTTTGCAAATGCCCGTTTCAATACAGTTAAATCGGACGCACCCTTTTATGCTCTGTCCATCCGTTTAGTTTGGCAATACTATTAATGCTATAACTACTAAATTAGCGTGTAGTGTGCAATGTGTGTGTGTGTGCGCGCGTGGGGGGAGGGTTCTTGTCCACACTGTGTATTTGACGTTGCTCGTTTGCACTGTCGGCTTGCGTTGTTTTTTGTGTGTGCGTTTTTTGAGTGAACCATTTGTTGTCTGCACTTGGACTGCTGTTTCAAGGGAATTGAAGTGCAATTAAAGAAAGATGATCTCCTGCTATTTGTCATTTATTTTTGTTAGAAGGCCCAATTCTACTCGTTAACTCGTGAGCTGCGATCGTCTTTAACGATATCGTCCCTGCAATTTTACATCCATTTTGGGGGCTTGGGGAATTCCGAAGTCGCACTACACCATCAACATTTTGCGGTGTCTAGCCCAATTACTCGCTGCCTCACTTGCTCACCCATTCACTCGCTCGCACAAAGATCCCCCGTGCAGTCTTCAGACTGTTGGGGCAAGTGCTGTTCGCGAGCACCTCCTGAAGGCCGACAACACACGAAGGGGTAGAGTGCCCAACACCATGCTCGGCCGCCTTTGTCTCCCCGGATGACGATTTTTTCACATTGCACCGGGTACTCGTTTAAGGCTAAATCAACCTAGGGGAAGCCGAAGACCGGTTCGGATATATTCGCCACTGTTGTTGGTCGAGAGCCGAAATGGAACTCGAGCACTCCCCACTCAAACCCACCTACTCCCTCGCCCGGTTTACCAACATACTCACACGCTCATTCAGCACCATTGCTATTTGATTTCCTTACCAAAGCGCGCGATACGCATGGGTACGGAGCACTGTACGATTTACACGAGGTTCATTTCACCCGGGACTTGCAATACCGGTGTAAGGTGATTTTGGCGTGTCGCCTTGAACAAGCCTGCATGGTCTCTAACCGAGCGTGACCCCAGGAATCTTGGTGCATGACCCTGGGAGCAACGGCTGTCCATCAGCACGGGCGAGGCCCCAGCGGACAACTGTAGCCTCCTTCGGATGATTGTGGTCATCTGTTTAATTAAGCATTGGTAGTGGCTGTATATGGGTCATATGCAATTAATGTACAGCGTTTTGGGATTCTATTAGCATGAGGCTATATAAAATGAAAGTGTTATCATGGGTCAAACGAAGGCCATTTGGTGTACACGTCTTCTTGAGTTGTGATGTCCTTCCGACAGGCAGTTTCTGTATTTAACACCTGACCCCCGGTTGCTTTGTGTAACAATCGCTGACTGCCCATTGACATGAATATACGTTTCCTGAAGCCATATTGATCGCATTGTACTGTTGGAGTAGCTCAAAACAACCTTCAGGACTTGGAGCAAGGTGACTGCACGCGCAAGCCAATACTGAACACGACGTTTGTGGCATGACGCAGTACACACAGCACCATGTGTGTGTCGGTTCACATGTACCATTTAAAAATACATTGACTTTGGAATTCCCTGAGCTCCCAAAATGTATGTAAATGCATTTTTTAGCATTATATATAGAATAAGCATGCAGAAGATTTTTTACGGTGTATTGCATTTCCTGAAATGGATGATTTAGACGACAGACGTTGGCTACGTTTGCAATATAATTGAATTCTTGTTACCTTCCATAATTCACGCTGAGACGGCGGGACTCTGAATGTCAAGGTGCCTCTCCGATATAAAAAGCAACGGGGCAGCATCCATTGGCAGCCCTGAGCGAGTGATGGATATTCCACATTCCTATGATGGGATTGTCCAGTTAAAGTACAACCGCTGCTGGGTTTCCATAAAGCGGTACTTATTGTATTGACTCAAGAGCGGTGATGGTCCAAGGCAGGGATTTGGATTTGCAATCTTCCAGGAGAGTGGATCTCTCGAAACGCACGACTCCGCCTGCCGGGATACGTCATAACACACCTCCGATTAGCACGGTTGTCGACATACGGTGTGAAAACAAGTTCAGCAGACATACATCCAGTTCACCATAGAAGTGGAGGTTGACAGAACTCTCCAGTTTCTGGATGTTCTCTGGCACGGCCAAAACGATCAAATACCACAGCGTTTATCCACAAAAAAACTCACACTGACGCCTATCTGAATGCAGAATCACACCATCACCCCGCACAGAAATCCTCTCATCAAGATGCTCATACATCAGGCCAAGAACGTGTCAGATGGTTACAGTCTGAAGAGTGAGATTAAACATGTTAAAGAAGTGCTGCAATTGAAAGGTTACAATGATGTGCAAATCAACCGAGCACTGAATTCTAAAACCAAATAAAATAGCACAAGCAATTAAAAGTATAAAAATATCATACATTGCAGGAGTAACTAATAAACTAGCCAATTATTGGGAAAAACAAAACATGAGTTAGATTTGGCACGGGACATAACATACAGAAACAAATATCTGGTACTAAAGATGCATTACCGAAGCTATAAACAGAAGGTGTGTACCGAATAAATTGCTATTGTGGCAAATGCTATGTTGGTCAGACAGGACGAATGATCAGCATGAAACGAAAAGAACTGCAATATTAAATCATCTCAAACAACTGTCGGCAGTGGCAGAAAACGCGTGCCAACAAGGACACTCAATTTATTTTGAAAATGTTGAAATTACGTGCAATATTAGTTACTACTGGCCAAGACTAATTAGATCATCTATCGTAATTGAGAGAAAAAACATTTGAACCGTTCTGATAGCTAGAGGCTTGGTGCTGCTTGGAAGCAAATCATCCAGTAATACTACACTGATCCACTTCATGCCTACACGATGGTAATTAACTGTGAGCAGACAATAATAGGTATTGTGATTTCTTACACGCACAAAACGTCAGGATGTACATGCATGATGTGCATGAATAGCGTGTGTTGATTACCCTATGTACAACCCAACCGGTAGTGAATATCAATTGTAAAGTATTTGCATGCATAACCCCTACCCCTCTGGTTTCGTACCTGATTGGCTGACAAGTGACGACATCACGTGCGTCACTCTGTTTAAGACCGAAACAGAAAGGAAATATCCACAAATCTGGCTGCCGCCTGATGTTGCCAGTGGCAATTACTGGCGAAACGTCGGACTCGAATTGGTAATGTCGTGGGTTTACCCTCCAACACACCGGTGTCTGGACTAGTAACGAATTGGCACGCTCTGTTTACGTGACAAACCTTACGAATTGCCTATGTCGGGTGGTGGCGGGTTTAATGACACATTTGCACGATCTAACCCCCCAAAAAACCTCTGTTATGGATACATGCACAGCACATCGGGCACGCTTTGTAACACTTAGAACAGGACATAGTATAAATTTTGATTTAAAGCTTTCGTGACTGCAGTAATTCATATTCTTAGCTCTTTCGGTAAAGTCACGTTGAAGGGAAACAATAAAATAATAAAATATATATAAAACAATAAAAATTCTCACGACGTTTCGACCATAACACAAACGGTCGTCAACAGGCGTGTCGGTTCGCATCAATTTATTTATTTATATTAAAAAACCGTCAGCGCCATGCGCAGCAATTTGGCATTTTGTTTAGAAGGACTAGTCCATCTATGTTCTGAAAAGAGGAGGGGGGAGACGAAACATTAATGTATGCTGTCTGAAAGCCACTGTAAGCGTGAACAATCAATTAAGACCTGAAATGGTTTATCAAATCTTTCCAATGATTGCTAAGCCAGAATCCATCTTCTCGGTTGAAATTGTCTCTGTGCTTGTATATGTGGATAGCCTCATGAACGAATCTCTCATGGTAGCCAGATGGCTTATAAAGAACCTCTGTCTTGGAAAAGTCAATGTCATGTGAGCCTACTGAATTATAACAATGATCTGCCACGGCCGAGGTGTTGGTCCTACCGTGTTTAAGGTCTGCTTTGTGTTCACGAATGCGGTCCCAGACATGGCGTTTGGTTTCTCCAATGTAACTACTACCACAGAGGCAACTTAGTTTATAGACACCAGGGTACTGTATGTCCGGAATCACATCTTTTACAGACGGAACCAGATCACGGATTTTATGTAATGTGTTGAAACGGACCTGGATCTTGTGTTTATTCAAGATTTTGGAGATCTTTTTTGTGATCCCCGCAATGTAGGGTAAAGTGATGGTTTTGAAAGGCTCCTCAAGAGGGTCCTTCTTCATGGTTTGAGTGATAGCTTTGCGGATTGTATAGTCGGAGTAACCATTAGCCTTAAGAGCTTGGTGTACGTGCTTGAGTTCACTGCCTATGTGTTCCTGGTCGGAAATGCATTGGGCTCTATGATACAGAGTCTTGATGAGAGAATTTTTCTGTGATGGATGGTGGTGGGAATCCGGTTTCAGATAAGCATCCGTATGGGTAGCTTTCCTGTAGACAGAGTGGCTCATTGAACCATCAGGTCTCTTTTTAATTAGGACATCCAAAAAAGGTAGCTTGCCATCTTTTTCGACTTCCATGGTAAATCTGATGGCTGGGTGTATGGAATTGATGTGGTCGAAGAATTGGTCTAGAGCAGGCAGGCCATGTGGCCAGATGACAAAAGTGTCATAGGACACAGTATGACAAGTGAATGTAAACTAAACACCATCTTACAATTAAAGATAGCACTGGTGCAACAACATTAGCCATTAAGTGAGCTGCCCCGCATGGACAGACCTTTGGCTCCCAGTGTGAGGCGTGACCACGAGGGCGACCGTGGCCGTTAAAGTTCAGCGAAACGCGGATGCACTCGGATGCCGAGCCCCATCGGCATTCCTGCGTGAAAAAAAACCTCACCACCCCCCCTCCACCGTAAATGTCACCGACTCAGCACGATGCTAAATGCAGTCTGCGAATTGAAGGCTTTACCGTATTCCCGAGTCCTCTCATCCTGACCACCCCCCCCCCACTCCACAGCACCGCGCGTGTGCGCGTAGCGTGTCGTGCAGCGTAACCGATAGCCGCCTCGTTCCGATGCAAGATCACTCTCAACCCCCCCCCCCCCCCCAGACTGTTGTGGCGATAATGCCACCGCTGGGTGCGAAGCTGCCAGCCCCGCTTATCCTCGCTCGCCCCGCACGGAGCCGCCAGCATCGCTGCGATCACATCTCACGTCAAGGACACACCCGTCTAAACTTACTCGTTTTTATTTGACCAGGTAAGGCCCACTGAGTTATGCAGATATTTTTCAGAAACGACCTGGCCACAATTGATAGCTCAACGAAGTGGCTTATCATCGAGTGGAAATTTATAGCAGCCGAATACTCTGAACGAGTGTTAGAAGGA